ACTGCTCAGGACAAGCACATACAGATGCACTTCCCCCAGGACAAACTTGGCCCGAGTGCCTGGGTGGTGGCTGGTGCCCTGTGGATGCCCATGTGTGCGAGGCCCTGATGGGATGGAGCTCAGGGAAGGGTCTAGCTGGTGGCGGGAGTGGTAGGTGGGTGAGAAGCTTGGGCAGCCAAGCCAGGGGTCATCACAGTCACCAGCGGCCACCCCCCATCCCCCATCCTCGCTCTCCCACCACCGGCATTCTCCCAAAGCTGCCACCCATCTGACCCACCTTGTGAGGCCTGGGAGAGGGCAATGGCAGGGGCGCAGGGCCAGCAGGGCTGTCCAGCCCCACTGACAGTTAGGGTCTCCTCCTTCCTGCCACAGCTGCGCCTGCCTCCCCTCCCCCTCAGTCCACCTTCTGAAGGACAAGTGCCACCTGTGAGTGGCTGCACTGGCTCTCCCGTCTGTTAGCGCATGAGGTTACCGGTCTTGAATGAGAGCGTGCGGGCCAGCGAGGTGGCCTTACTTGGCGTGGGAGGAGATAGTGGACGGATGGGTGGCCACGCTGCATGACAGGCTCTGCGCCCTCTTCCCTGCCCCCCCACCTGCACAGGGAGGCCATCGCCTGGGCTCAGAGGCCCAAGGAGCAGCCCCATCGCACAGCGCAGCTCAGGGCCGCTGAGCCGGGCCAGCTCAGACTGCAGGATGGGAATATCTGCAGGGTCCCCTGCATCTGCTTGGTGGGGACCCTGCAGGTCTGAGCAGGAATCACCCAGCATTTCTGCCGTCCCCTCCCACGTAGAGGCACACCCGCTGACCAGCCCCCAGGCATCTCGGTCTTCTGTCTGCCTGTCCCTGCAGCTGCCGCTGGGGCTGCCAGAGCCGAGGGTACAGCAGGTGGTTCAGAAGGAGATGGAGGAAGACACTGTTGTGTTCTCAGCACCCACACCTCTGCGTGCGGAAGGGACGCTGGAGCAGGGGCAGGAGGCTGTCCCGGTGCTTTCCTTGGGCCTGACATGTGTTCATGGCTCCAGAGCAGGGAGTGTCCTGCGGCCCACTGAGCACCCAGTCAGGCACGCCCGCTCCAGGCCATAAGGCATGCAGGGCTGGAGGCCAGCACCGGAGGGACCCACCCAACACAGGGCAGCTGCCCTGGGCCCGTGTGGGTCCCCATAGTTCGAAGGTGTGGCAGGGAAACAAGGCCAGTGTGTCTGGGGCCTGGGAGGGCTGCACAGCCCCATCTGGGAGGTCCAGCTGGGCCTGCTCCAGACTGGGGAGTACCCCAGAGCGCCTGCTCTCCTGCCCTACCCCCCTTGCTCCCTAGCTGTGCTTCCTTCAGCCTAGAGAGATATTGATTCAGGCTTGAGGCTGGTTGACTTATAAATATGCATGAGGATGGGTGGTTATTTAACTGTGCTTTTTAATTCTCTTCCCGTCTCTGCCTCTCCAGCAGGGTCTGTTAGTATGCACAGCAGGCCCAGGGAGGCAGGCGTCCGCCCCAGGGGTATAGCCAGGGGCTGCGTCTCCTTCGCCTGTCCTGGGGACGGCTGTGGTCGCTCTGCAGCAGGTCCAGCCACAGGCCAGGCAGGGGTCTCTTGGGATTGTCCTCTGTCCTCGTGTTTTGAGCAGAGAGCCCGAAAGCTCCTTAAAGGTGGAGATCTCCAGCCTCTGTCCTGTGCAGAAGGGAAGCTGAGGCTTGGCGCCCACAGGAGGCCTCAGGGCACCAGCAAGTTAGAGGCAGTACGTGGGTGTGACCGGGGTGAGGCAGGTGCTGCCTGCTACCCACTGCGTCCCCATGGACTTGGGACGCTTGCTCGTAGTCTGGGATGCAAAGGGACACAGCCATCAACCCAGGCTTGCGAAGAATCTGAGCAAGGAAAGAAATCCACGCCACGGGGGGCTTGGGGGTGGGGAGCAGCCTCTGCACATGCCCACCCAGCCGGCCCCAAGGTGCTGGGGTCCTGGGCGAGCCCCGTGCCCTCTCTGGACTTGAGACAGCACCCCCACTGCCTTCTCCTCAGAATCGAGCACCTGGCGCCACGCAGGCCCCGCCCCGGTGCTTCTCTGTGCTCATTAGCGGGCGCTGGCTCGAACCCTCGGCAGGGAGACATTCAAGTTAGGTTGGTCACTGCACCACACTTCAGAGGGGACTCGGAGCTTTCCCTTCTCGGATTCCCACCACCTCTCAGCATTCCCCTGGCTGTGGATCAGACAAGGCAACGCATTTTTAGCAGCTCAGCCATCTCCTCTCCTTTCCTGGAAGCTGCCCTGCAGCAGGGCCTTCCACTCGTCCCCCATTTGCTCACCTGCTCGGGCAGCCCCCATGGCGCTCCTGCACAGGCACCGTACCCCTGCATCCGCAGCAGGCGGGCGACAGCACTGGGAGGCCCGCTCCTCTCCTCGCCACCACGCCCGAGGGAAGGGGAGCCACACCCTGGCTCAGTCCACGTCAGTGGCTGCCATTCATCCTTCAGTGACTGGCACTGTGTGCCCCCCCTGTCCTGCAAGTGGAGCAGCCAGTGCAGTGGGGTTAGAAGAGGATGCTCGGCCCCCACCCCTCCCGCAGCAGGCCATGCGCTGCACCCGTCCCTGGGAGGGACAGCAGCACAGCAGTCCTGTCACCGTTGTGAGCCAGCTGGAGCATGGCGCCCACCCTGTTCTAACCTTGGAGAGTCCCGAATGCACTGGTCTGGGCCCCCAAGGAGTCTCTCCCCATGTGGCTGGGACCAGGAGGTGCTCAGTGGCCTGCAGCATGGTACCCATCTCACCTCCCATGGAGCCTCTGCTGGAGGTTTGCTGTGGTTTCCTGGTACTTGGTGGCAAAACTGCCAGAACTCTGTGGCTTGAAACAGCAGCAGTCTCCCCCCCACCCGGTCTCTCCGCTGGTCTCTCCTGGGTGTGTTCACCTAGATTTCAGGCAAGTGGGCCTGCTGGGCTGATCACCTGGGGTGGCTGCAGGAACAGGCCTCTCTGTGGGGCCTTTCACCCCAGGGAGGCCCATCCATGTGTCCCTGTGGGGCCTCAGGCATGCACACAAGAGGCAGGCTGGACATGCGAGGGCCTAGGCCTCCCACACACCACACTGGCTTAGAGATGGTGGGGGACTTCACCAGGAGGCGTCTGGGGGCAGTGGGCACAAGGTGACCTTCTCCCCCAAATTCCTGTGGGCTGGGGGGTGTGGAGATGTGGTCAGGAGCCTTCCGCTGTGGCTGCTTGTGGGGGTGGAGGCTCAGCCTCAGCTCTGGTCGCCATCAGCAGGGCCACCTCTGCCCTTCACGCTCAGGAGCAGGGCAGGGAAAGGGAGTGGCTTTCACTTGTGGGTACATGTTGGTCATGTCCTGGAAGTGAGGCACCCACATCAGAGGCCAGTCCTCGGGCAGGAGCTGAGCGGGTTGGCGTGTGACACCAGCAGACTCTGCCTGTAGCTCGCCCTTCCATTTGAGCAGAGACCAAGAGCAGAGAGCGGGCACTCAGTCCAGAGTGGATTCGCCACAGGCTGTGCTCACAAGGCATGTGGCAGTGTCCTCGTGGCCTGGTTCTGTAGGGCTCCACTTGCCAGGACCTGGGACCGGCAGACTAGAAGATGCCCCTTGCTCCCCTGAGCAGTGTTTGTGGGCAGCCTGTGGACTCGGCTGAAGGCTGTGCTTGGCTGCCCCAAGCCTCAACCCAGGCCCAACCAGTGGTTCACAAGGGCACCCCTCACCCCCCATTCCCCATCCAAGCCAGGCTCCTGCCTCTGTGGCCTTCTCGTCCTCATCTTCACAGTGAGGTCAGGCTCGGCTGTAGTGCCGCATGGGGCAGAGGGAGTGACCAGAGGCTGATTCTTCTGTGACCAGGGTGCTAGCAAGGCTCTGGCTTCCGTGTCACCTGGCAGGCGGGCGTATCTCTGCCAGGAAGCTTCAGCAGACCTTTCCCCCACCCCTCGCTTCCCCACCGAGAGCCCACAAGTCTCAGCTACCACTCGGGGCTCATGAGGGGCCAGGACAACATTGCCATGTCCCCCGGAGGTAGGACAGCATCTCCACCTGGAGGCGTTCACGGCCTCCATGGGGAGATGGACATGTGGTGCAGTGGGTGCCCTAGGGGGCCACAGGGCAGCCAGTTCAAAGGGCAGTTGTGCTGGGCCCCCAGCAGCAGGGAGGTTGGTCAGCTGGGTGCAGCACACAAGCCGGGATACGGTGGCAACAGGATGTGCCAGGCCAAGGAGCCTGCGATGTGTGGTGGGCCCGCTGGTCGTGGCAGGGGCCAGGGCCAGACCCAAGAACTTACGCTGCACGTATGGGCATCTGCAAGCCCCTGGGCCCGGCCAGCATGTGCAGTGGTGTCTTGTCCAGAGCCATGCCCTCTGGGGGTCGTGGGGCCTCCCCCCCACACCCACGACCCTGCGCAGCAGTTCTTCCGGTCTAGTCGTCCGGAACGAGGGAAGCTGCAGAAACTGCCACAGCCCGAGAAGTGGGAAGAGGCCAGACCGGAAGTCACCCGGGTCCCGGGAGAGACCGAGGGCTCGGGGGCCTCACGCAGTGTGCAGCAGTGTGTCAGCACTGGTCTGTGCGTGGGGCCTGCGTGGGAGGCAGGGTCTTGCGTTTTCTGTGACTGAGGGTACTTTCAGTCCATGGGCCCTGCTCTTAAAGACCGTGAGCCAGGGTGGGAGAGGCTTGCTGAGGGTGGCCCTGCAGGCTGGCAGGGCCCCGGTCGTCCGACCCTTCGCCAGTAGGGTGTGTGAGAGACGTCCCTCCCAGTCCGTTTGCACACTTGGCAGGCAGGACTGAGAGGAGGGACTCGTGCGCCGAGGACAGTGTTGCAGAGGCGTGAGGGGCAGGTCCACTCTTCGCTCTCTCTTCCCATTTACTCCTGCAGGTGTGGGGCGGCACTGTGGCTCGTGGGTGGGGCTGGTGCCGGGTCTGTCCCGAGAGGGTCCTGGCTCCCATGCTGCATCCGTGCAGCGCTTCTTCGCTGTTCACCATCTGCTTCCTGCGTCTTGACGCTGGCTCCCCCGCCCTGTGCTCCTGTAGGGCGACTACGACCAGAGCAAGACCAAGGTGCTGCACATGAGCGCGAACCCAGCCAGCGAGGCGCGGCAGTGCCTCCGCCAGGAAAAGGCCCGGCTGCAGGAGGAGTGCGAGCGGCTGCGGAAGCTGGTGAGCGCCCTGGAGAGAGGCGGCCCCATGCCGGCTGACTTGGAGGCTTCCTGTCTGCCCTCATCCAAGGAGGTGACAGGTAGGATCCTCACCTTCCTTGATGGCCACTGGGGCAGCTCGGGCGTCTGTCTGTTCATCTGCCCACCCAGTGCAGGTTGCCAGTCCACAATGGGAGGGGCTGGGCAGCAGGTCTAGTGGCTGGGTCTGCAGAGCAGCAGGAGGTAACTCAGGCCGAAGTGGAGAAGCCACTGGCCAAATGGAGTCCTCTCAGACCCCAGAACAAATTGGTATCATTTAGCAGTTTACCGGTGCCCATCGATCAGGAGTAAGTCCAGCACTCCATGCGAACGGGCCCCTTTCACGGGCCTGAGCACCCAGCACAGGCCTGGCTCAGAGGCCCCAACGCCGCTGCCGCACATGCTGTGTGTTTCCAGTAGGGCAGTGACCTCTGGGACAGTGTGTGTCACCTCCAGGGGAGGGGCCCCTGGTGTTGGTTCACTAGAAGCCTCGCAGTTGCCAGGCCCTGCCCTGAGAAGAGTACTCGGAATGTGCAGAGAAAAGCGTGTCCACCAGCGCAGAGGGGGGGGCCCTCGGGGTCCCCGTTTTCTCAGAGTCACGTATCTATGTGCCACACACGTGCGTGTGACATGCACGTGTACCATGTCACCTGCCAGCCACAGACACTTGGACGCTGGAGGGCAAAGCACAACACCATTTCTGTTCAGTCTCCCCCAAGTGAAGGTCCTGGGCTCAAATCTGGGTCCTGAGAACCATGCGCCGTGGAGGCTGGGAGGCAGAGGAGGTGGGGGTGAGGGGGGGCCGTGCGTCCGTGGGCCACCACGTCGGTCCTCGCACCCACTGGGGTGCCGCAGGGAGCTCACCTTGGTGTTGCTGCAGCTTGAGGCTCCCGCCTGTGGTCTGTTGCCCTCCTGGCTGGCTGAGCACTCTCTCCAGGGTTATCCACACCCTCGGTGGGGGACAGGGTTGAATGTGTATGTTCCTCTTCCCCAGACTGGCACTCACAGCCTGTTAGAGCAGCATCGCTCGGTTACCAGGAGCTGCTGCCAGCCCAGTGTCCTCTGACGGGGGGTGAGTGGAAAGGCAAGCTGGCACACCCCCCTGGGCACGGACTCACCCACCGGAGGGGGTACCCGGCCTCAGGGAGGGCCTCCCCCCACTCTCTCAGGAGAAGGACAGACCAGCGGGCGCAGGCTGAGCTGGGAACTAACCGTCCAGGGGGACGGGGTGGCTGTCGTGTCTGTGCCCACCCTTACAGACTACACGCCAGAGCGTGTCCCCTTCATTGCACAGCCTTTTAGGTGGTAAGTGAAGGTCTGCCTGGTGTCGACCTGCGTTTTCCAGACCATCCGTGAGGAGGAGCGCGCTGCTTCCTCTCCCAGAACCTAGTCCTCCAGCCGGAGCTCCCTCACCTCTTCCTCCCATTTCCCCCGAGGCTTGCAGCTCGTTCACAGTCTTATCTGTTCATCCTATTACTTTTAAGCTCAGAAAGTCCTTTAGTCATTTTATTAATAATCCTATTTTCTTTGGGATTTTTTGGCTTTTTTTTTTCTCTGCCTGAAGATGTGATCTACGTGGAAATTATTCTGACATTGTGGCTCAAGGCCAAGTGCAGACAGGTCGTCTCCTGGACCATGAGCATCCCCCCGGGGACGCTTGTCATCCAGCTCTCACTGGCCTGGTAATTTTTAGCGTGTCCTCATCTTTACCACGTTGGATCTGTGTTTGTGTTTTCTGGCTTTTTAACTTCACTTATCTGTACCATATTTTTAGTAATTTTAACTTTAAAATGTTTTAGTATCTGGTAGAGCAGGCATTACTTTTTTTAAGTCAAAGATTTCCTAACTTGTTTATTATTCTAAGTGAATTTTAGGTTTATTTTGTCAAGTTCAAGAAAGGGCCTTTGAGAGGTTTTGTGTGCCTTGTTTGGTAGTGAATGAATTGTCTGCCTCCCTGTGTCTGTGTGTGGACGGGGTGGGGAGACGCCCCGGGCACAGGCTCGTGCGGCAGCACCTCTTCTCGGGGACACGCGGAGCCTCCCTGCAGAGGCCCCATCTGCGGGGCACTACTCCCACCCTGGGGCCCCTGGGGCTCTGGTCCCGTCACCTTCCCTTCAGGAGCCGCTGGGATGGCCTCCAGGGTTCTGCTCTTTGGCCAGCAGTGCGGCCTCAGTCCCCGCCGCCCTGGCAGCAGGCTGACCACAGGGTGTGGGTGTGTGATCTGATGTGGTCACAGTGATAGCTGTGGTCTTCATTGCCCAGAGGTCTGGACCTGCCAGGAGCTCGTCTGTCATGCAGAGCCTGCTCTGCTGGTGGGGGGCTGCACCGGTGCTGTGCCCCAGTGTGTCCCATGCAGGACGGAGACACCCACCTTCACAGGTGGGGTCCCAACTCTGGGAGGGGCAGGCGAGCCGGGGCCGAGTCTTCCTGGGAGTTGCCAAGGGCCTGAGGGTCCAGATGCCAGTCCCACCCACCACCTACCAACTGGGCAGCCTGGGAAGGGCTTGTGCCCTCCGAGCCCCAGCCTTCCCCTCTGAGAAGGGGGACTGTCTGTGCAGCCAGGCCCAGGGGCAGCTCAGAGGGCCCAGCAAGGCTGTGGTGGGCAGCCCCTGTCCTGCTGGCAGAGAGTACAAGAGGGGCACATGGGCTGCGCCTGTTGCCAGGTGGGCACTGGCCGCAGGCAGGAGCGGGCTGGCGCTCCAGTGTCTATCTGCCCCAGGCCTCACGGCCCCGCCAAGGTCAGCCGAATCCCCATGGTGCAGGCAAGGCTGGCAGCCTGGGTCAGCCTGCTGCTGTGTGTCGGAGCTGGCATTGTCCCCAGCGGGTCTCAGGCCCGCCCGCCAGGAGAGAGCACCTTGCACTCTTGGCTGCTTCCAGGTGGGGCTTTGCTGGAAGCCGGCTGGTACTTCGCCGCTGTGTGTCCTGGCTGCCCTCGCCCCCACGCTTGTGTGTCCTGCACGTCAGGGTGGAAGACAATGCCAGTGATCAGGACTCCAGTCAGACTGTCATTTAGTTGCTGGGTTTGCAGGTGGGCAGCACAGAGCAAGGGGCCAGCCTGGCCCAGTCTCCTGGCTGTGCCGGCCCGTGCTGCTGGCTCTGCTCCCAGTGCATGAGGACCCAGGAGGCCCTGCCCTGTGATTCACACCCCCCTTGCCCTGGGCCACCAGCTCCACCTGCATGGGAGGCCTCCGCTAGTGTGGGCACCAGCCCACCCTCTCCCTCCGTCCCCAACTTCTCTCTGCTGTTTTGGAGACGGTGGTAGAGAGCCTGTGGGCTTGCCAGGGCTGTCTGCAGGGAGCCAGCAGCAGGGTGGCAACGCTGGGGACATCGTGCTGCCTCAATGCCTGGACAGCTAGCACAGGGAGCCCTGCTGGCGCCAGCCCATCTGCGGCATTGCTGCCTGACCCCTCTACTCAGTGTCTCTCAGGCACTGCAAATCAGCATGGTCACACTGAACCCCCAAAATGGTAAGACGCCACTGCACAGCTATCAGAATAACCAGAGCACAGACGGCACCAAGTGCCGGGGCCCTGGAGCCACGGGAACCTCACTTGCTGCCAGTGGGGTGCAGACAGCGCCCTTGAAGGGGCATATTGGAGATTTCTTACGAAGCCGAACACTCTCGCACTGTAGGGTCCAGCTAGTGGAAACGTGTGTCCCTACAAACACCTGCCCAGGGTGTTTGCAGCAGCTTAGTTCACGATCACCAAGGCCTGGAAGCCACTGAGACGTCCTTCAGCTGTGACAGACGTGCACGCTGTGGTCCAGCGGGCGGAGGACACTGCCCATGAGTGACAAGAAACGAGCTGTCAGCCATGGAAAGACACAGAGGGACCGTAACCACACCCCAGTGAGTGGCGGAGGCCGCTCTGATGAGGCTGCGAGCTGTGTGGTCCCTACTCGGGTTGTTCTGGGAAAGGTGGACCCGGGCAGTGTGAGGAGATCGAGGGACCAGCAGTGTGAAGGGTGGACACATGGGGAGCTCAGCACACACGGTCTTGCCCCAGGACGCACGCACCACGAGGACCTGGCGTGGACGGTGGGCACCAGGATCGGTGGCTGTCAGTGCACGTCCGTTGTTGTGCCAGACGCCCCACTCTGGGGAGGCCATGCGTGTGGGGACCGGGGGTGCGGGCACTGTCTGTACCTTTCCTCAGACTTGCTACGAACTGTCCTGGCTGGTGTGGCTCAGTGGACTGAGCACTGGCCTGGAAACCAAAGGGTCACGGGTTCAATTCCCAGTCAGGGTACATGCCTGGGTTGTGGGCCAGGTCCCCAGAAGGTGGCGTGGGAGAGGCAACCACACATCCATGTTTATCTCCCTCTCTGTCTCCCTCCCTACCCCTCTCTCTAAAGATAAACAGAATCTTTTTAGAAAATTGCTATGAACTTTAAACTTCTGATAGTCTTTTGAAAAACACCAAGCAGACTCTGGACCCTCACCTGCGTCTGATGTACAGTGGTTTCAGTGACACGTGGTGCTGTGCAGCCACGCCCACACGGTGCTACTAGAACATGCCCAACCCCCTGCCCCGCACGCAGCCCCTCAGCCACCGTCTGCCTCACCCCTGGCAGTGTCTCCTCTAGACACATCCCAGGAGGAGCCACAGCACACGGGCCTCTGCGTCAGCTCTGAGGCTCACCTGTGTGGTGGTGTGCGCCACCACCCGCTTGTCCGGGTTACTGGGGGCGTCCCCTTGGATGCGCGGCATGGCTGGTGGACCTTTTCTGGCTGCAGAGAGGAGCACGGCAGTGAGCATTCGGATCCAAGTCTGTGTGTGGACATAGGGTCTGTGTTCTCTGGGCTGTGAGTGGAAGTGCCGGCTTGTGTGGCGATTCACGTCCGAGCTTTTAACACGCTGCCCAGCTGTTTTCCAGAGCAGCTGCCCCACCCTGCATCCGCCGCCCTTCCACTGTGCCACCGCGTCACCCCTCGGCTGCCCTTCCCCGGTGCTGGCGATGCCGAGCAGGTCTCTCTGTGCTTGCTCGCGCTTCAGCCAGCTTCGGTGAGCGGTCTGTGAAAGTACGTTCCCGGTTTCTGACCAGCTGCTTGCCCTTTGAT